CCTCGTGGGCGGTGGGCCCCTCCCCCCCAGGTCAGACCCAGAGCAACCTCCCTTCCCACGCCTGTGCTCGCCTCCCCGCCTCTCCCCACCTTCCCAGCCTCCTTCCAGCCCTCCCCCAAGAACTCTTCACCCCTCCGCAGACTTTCTCCTTTGTCCTGTCCCTCACACCCTTTCTCGCCAATTCCTTCGCCCCTCTCACCCAGGGCCCGCCCCTTAGGTGAATAAGCACCTGACCGGGCGCACCTGCCCCGGCGCTGGGGCGATAAGGCTGAACCGGAAGTCGCCCCGGCCCTGGTAGGCAGAGACAGACCTTCCTGGCTCTCTCCTGGGGAAGCTGGCGGCGCGGGGTGTTTGGGGATGAACTTAGGGCAGAGAGGTGGTGCGGAAAGTCAGTCCCCAGTCTAAACAGAGTTCAAGACTGAAGACATCGTCCTTTTCCCAGCTCTGCAGTGTGAGGACCTTTTGGGGTGCTCCCTGGGGTGGAGCATTCGGGAAGTCGTGTATTGGGGTGGGGACAGAGCTTCTGAGTCGCTCCTCAGCCCCACCCCAGCTTGGTACCTGGTCTTGGTGATCAAAGCAGCATTCCCTACATCAGGGCACCCCTCCCCAGCCCCTGCGCCTCCTCGCCCCATTCTGGCATAACCTCCGTCTCCCCGTGTGGCCTCTGCTGATCCTGGGGCCCTGTGCACTGCTACTTGGCCTGTGGCTGTGGGGACACAGTCTGGGACCGTGATGAATGCTCTCTTCCTTTCCCTCGGGGCTTCTAGGGAAGCCACCTGTCTTAGGACATCTTTTCTGTCTCCTGTCCAAGGCAGGATTGGGGAGCACAGCAGCTACTGCCCTCAGAGCCCCTCAGAAGGAAAAGCCCACCCCATCTTGATAAACACCTGGGATCTTCCAGCATCGATGGGAAAATCTTAATAGTTCGCCGTTCCATCTGTATGGCTTTCTTGCCAGTTCTCTTCACCCTACCTAGGCCGGCTCATCGCACTGTCATTGCTCCCTCCACATCAGTTGTTCCTGATACACTTGTAGGCTCCACAGTGCAGGGACTGAGTCTGTCTTGTTCATCGTGTGTTCCTAGTACTTGGGCCAGTGTAGGTATATAATAGGTGCAATGCATATTTTGAAGAAGTCTGCTACTTCTAATTGCCATCCCTTTGTAGGTGATGTCTTTTCTCCCTGATTTTAGGACATTATTGGTGTTTTGTAGTTCTATTACAAAGTATCTAGTTATGGATTCTTTTCTATTTGTTCTTCTCGATATGTTGTATTTCCTGTACCTATGAATTTGCATCTTTCATCAGTTTTGGAAAATTCTCAGCCAGTATTTCTCCAACTATTCTTTTTCTCCATTCTTTGTATTCTCTTATTTGGGGACTCTGAGTAGAAGTATGCTAGACCTTTTCATTTTGTCCTCCATGTCTTTTAACTTCTTTTCCATGTCTTTCATTCTTTTTGTCTCCATGATGCAATCCATGTAATCGCTTCAGCTCTTTCTTCTAGTTCACCAATTCTTTCTTTGGTTATGGCTAATGTGCTGTTTAATTCATACACTGAGGGTGTGTGTCTTTTTTATTTTTTATTTTTTTGGTCATTGTTATGTCATGTGAACATTACTCCCTATGGTGACAGTACTTTATTGAGGTATAACTTACATTCAGTAACATGTACAAATTTAACTGTATAAAATCAAAGCACTTCAAGAAATGTGCACATCCCTTAATGCAGATAAAGACCTGGAACAATCCTACAATACCAGAAAGTTACCTTGTGCCCATTTGCAATCAATCCCATTCCCCAAAGGCAACTACTGTTCTGATTTCTAAAACCCATAGATCACTTTTGCCTGCTCTTGACCTTCTTATCAATGGAGTTACACAGTGTTTATTATTTGCATTTAGCTTCTTTCATTCAACACATTTTTGAGATTCATCTTAGTGTTACATACTCTTTTGGTGGAAACACAATGGCTCCATAAGTTCCTTCAAGGAAGAGCATGTGAAACCTGATTTTTCTCTGAATGTCTGGTGTCCTCACAGGTCTGAGTGTACTAGAGGTCCTCTGGGAGTTGAATGAACACATGAGTGTAGAGCACATGGGGAATGTAGAACATATGGGCAGATGCATTCAGAAAGGTTGGCAGTAGCAGAATAGGCATCAATTTATCCTTCCAGCAAGCTTTCCTTGTGCCAGATTATGGGCACTCAGGTGAACAGTAGACAGAATACCTGCCTTGGTGGGATTCATTCTACAGAGCCTTGCAGAACATGGTCAGGAGCTTGGGCCTTACCCAGTGACTCTGGGAACTGTGCCGCGTCAGCATGGCCAAGGGTAAACCTGAGGAGGGGCGGTGAAGGATTGAAGAAAAGACAGACAAGAGAATACAGCTGGGGCTCGGTGGATCTCCTGTGCCTGGATGAGGACACAAAACACCCAGCCTGCAAGCCTTTATTTTTTAGTCTGATTAAAATAAGAGTAGATTAACTTTTATACAAATGTTCTTGTTTTGGCAACACTTTCTGCACCTCCCACAGCCCATTAGCTACTTAGGAAGGAATTAGGGAGGGCTACAAGGTCAGGCTTAATTATGCTAGGAGAGCTCTGCCCTCCAGGCTGGGACTTCTTTGTGGCCCTGCCACCCGTCAGCCCAAGGCTTGACCCTAGAGCCGCTCCCTACAGAGAATCACTGAAGGGTTTTATTTTTTTTTTTTAATATATTTTATTGATTTTTTACAGAGAGGCAGGGAGAGAGATAGAGAGTTAGAAACATCGATGAGAGAGAGAAACATCGATCAGCTGCCTCCTGCACATCTCCTATTGGGGATGTGCCCACAACCCAGGTACATGCCCTTGACTGGAATCGAACCTGGGACCTTTCAGTCCGCAGGCCGACGCTCTATCCACTGAGCCAAACCAGTTTCGGCTCTGAAGGGTTTTTTGTTTTGTTTTTTAAATATATATTTTATTGATTTTTTTTTTACAGAAATGAAGGGAGAGAGATAGAGAGAAACATCGATCATCTGCCTCCTGCACATCTCCCACTGGGAATGTGCCCACAACCAAGGTACATGCCCTTGTCCGGAATCGAACCCGGGACCTTTCAGTCCACAGGCCAACGCTCAATCCACTGAGCCAAGCCGGTTTCGGCATCTGAAGGGTTTTAAATAGGGAATGACAGAACCAGCTTGCTATAGAAAGAGACTGGGAAAAGGTGAGAGAGAAGAAGCAGGAAGCTCAGGAAAGCGACCCTTACCATTGGTTCAGGGGAGAGAGATTGGCCCTGGCTAGGCCCTGCCTACGTGATGGAGAAGAGGCTGACGATGGGGCACTATCAATGGACCTAGGTCCTCCAAGTTCCAGCAGGAAGTCAGAAGTAGAGGCTCAGCCCCACCTTTGTCTTTGGCTTGGAAAAAAACAAACAGGTAATCAGAGGCCTCTTTATTCCCCCCCTTCTCCCTATTGATTTCTTTGGGAGTTAAGTGCTTCTCATCCCCACCTTTGCCAGTAAAGGAGGGTGGGGTGTTGGGAAGCACAGTCTGACCCTCCTCACCACCCTCAGGGAGCATCTCCTTCATGCTAAGATGAATACTTAAACCTGGAGGCCCAAATCAGGCACCACCCCAACCTCTGCCATGCCCT